GCTCAGAGGTCGACGCCGTCACGGTAACCCGCGGTTACGCGCGCAGAGGTCGACGCCGTCACGGTAACCCGCGGTTACGCGCTCAGAGGTCGACGCCGTCACGGTAACCCGCGGTTACGCGCGCAGAGGTCGCCGCCGTCACGGTAACCCGCGGTTACGCGCGCAGAGGTCGCCGCCGTCACGGTAACCCGCGGTTACGCACGCAGAGGTCGACGCCGTCGTGAAGTGGATTCCGACGCGATCTTCGGAATTGTCTCGTGTCGTAATTTTATCGTGTGCTGCGACGTGCTGCCACTGCTCGTCTCTGTGTATCAACGCGCATGATCTATCGTCATGCCTAGCATTGAAACCTTCTGCTCACTTCAGCATCTTCAGGAATTCCTGAAACTTAATGATGTCAGCTTCACCCGCATTTCCTAATCGGTCCTGTTGTCGTTCCCACCAGCTCAATCTGATTATTTTAGCATTTTTTGCGATTGTTAATATTGTTGTTGTTATTTATTTACAGGATGGGTACACATCTAATTACACCGATTACGTATTATTGTTATTATTATTGTTGTTATTTACGTGCTATTTTCGATCGTTTACAGGAGGCGGTCGTGAGGAGCGTCTTGCTGAACAACATTGCGGAGGACGAGTCGAACAACAGCTTCCGCTGGGTGTGCAGCCTCGACGACATCGGCCGCAACATGAAGCACCTCATGCGATTCATATCCTACAACCGCTCCTACCACTCGGACGCGCTGTTCCTAGCGGGCGCCAACTCTACGTACTTCACGTACGTACGATGCAGCCGCTCCATGGGCTTCCTCACCGGTCGCGGTGTCGCGAAGTTTGAAATACCGTTGGGGGGAAAAATGCGTTTTCCGCATTAGATTTAGAAGTGTCGGTATAAACTGCATACTGGGGTTTCGTTCCCGTGTTGACTGTCAGAATGGCTTGGATCCTACAGCATAGGAATCTTACTCCAGTCTCAGAAATTGCTGAAATTCTGTTCATCATTCCTATTAGTTCTATTGTATTGGTTTTACTGTTTGATAAACACTAGTGAAACATCAAAAGTCGCCCTTGTCGCACTAAACATTAGTAGAGTAGAAGAAAAGTAGAAGTGTTAAAGTTAAGTAAAGTGTAAAAGCAGCCCTTGTGTGCATATATTTGCTACGAGAGACGCTCGCGCAGGTTTGGATGTATATTTGAATTAACTTTGGCTCTTTTTTTAATGCTGAATTTCAGGAAAGCGGACTACCCGGAAGTGCAGAGGCTGTTTCCGCGGGCGGACATGCTGTATATAGAGGGCGCCGGGCACTGGCTCCATCTCGACAAGCCGCGGGAGCTCCTCGATGCTCTCGTGCCGTTCATGAACAAGCCGAGCAGTCTGTAAGATCGTTCCGGCGAACAACGTCCCGCGTCGGAAACGCCATCCAATCGGAATCAATCGGAATGTGCCGTCGTGCGACGCGGGCAATCGAACTAGGCGTCGCGATCCCCCTGTCTGCCTGGCCATAGCCTTGCTACAGATTACGGTTTGGCAAACAGTCATGGTGGAGTTTTTAACGAGAAGGACTCCACTCGTAGTTGATTTCTGACTGCCAGTCGATTTCCCGCGAGGTAGAGATGCGTTTGGTTCGCGTTTTCCCCGTCGGACGTTTGTATAGTAGACTACCGATTCACGGGCCGGAACGATTTATTAAGAGATGTCGCGTTGTTGCCGCTGCGGAAAGGAACTTTGCAGTTCTTGGGTGTTGAATTGTGGCTTGTTGCTGCTTTAGTTGGCTGGACACGACCGCGGCCGATTGGTGGTGTGGTGTGAACTCACTTCTGTATTTTCATATGTCGATGACCACATCGTTGGAAGCTTGGCACGTACCAGTACAGAAACAGAAGAAATAGACAAAATAGAAGTAGAAGAAACAGAAGAAATGTCTAACAGATTGTTGACTTTGTAGTTTATATAACATTATAATGGTTTTTTTAAGTATTACGTGAGGTAACGTGGTTTTTTTTGCGGGGAGGGGGGCGTTTTTTTCATTAAATATGCTGTTATAGGCGTTGTTACGTGAAGGTTAGTAGGCTATGTATTGTTATGTATGCAGGCTGTAGTGAAAAGACTATGATCGTGCATCAACTAGTTATCTCACGTCAGAGGAGTACAGTACAGCGTCACTCTCTTGTCAGCTAGTTCTAATCTAGATGCTATTTATTGATTATTGGTGGCAAAAAATTGATTTTGAATTTAAACCCGCTCGTTTGACTTTAGATTAAGCTGTTGGAAGTACGACTGAGAGTACAGTCTTGTACAGATATGCCATACCTGAAATTCTATATAAGCTTTTAGGTCGAGTTCAGAAATATCATGGTAACATGACTTAGTGTGCCTTAAAAACATCAGGGAGTAACTGTAGTTATGTTTAAAAAAATAATAAGTAGGCAGTGGTGCTAGTTAACTATACTACATATACATGTCGGAACTTCAGGTTTGTGGAATTTGCTCATTTTGTGAATATAATCTCTGTAATTAAAATACCGAACGTGTTTGGTAAAGAAAATATTCAGAATTTGAAATTATGATTTGTTCTCTGGTTGAGCCGAACTGGTTTTACCTGCTCCAGAATACCAAATCTCAGGTAGAATTTTGCATGCAGTGTGTCACTTGTGAGTGGGACCCAATAACTCGTTTATCAGATGGGACTACAAAGTTAGAGAATGTATTTTGTCTAGACAATTATTGACTACGGTTGGTCCTTCCCCCTCGCAATTCATACGTGTACGTGTGTGCGTGTGTTCTTCCACAACCTATACGCTGGCTGGTCGCGACGACCGGTCATGCAATAGAGAGAAACTATTTTAGAAAGGTATACTTTGAGGGCAGAGTTAGACAGCGGTTTACCTTTTGATAGCGACGAGCCACGGTGGGCAACTTTCTAACGCCGACCCCCCCCCCCCGTCCGTGTGAACGGAAAGTAAGCAGCGCTCGGCAAAAAGGCGATTGCAGTTCCGACAAGATGTCCGTCCTAATTAACACGAACGAACGCGCGTGACCCAGTTAGGACAGCGGGTGTTTTTGCATGGGGAGTACATCGCGATATGGTTGTGATGGGTTGATTGTTAGCAGAGCTCTGCGCGGTCTTTGCCAATAAGTTTTTTAGTACCACTGCCGCGTCGACTCAGATTTGTATAGAGACTAGATGAGGGGCGATGTACGGCTCGCAATAACCGCTGCCCTCCGCTTTAATAAAATTGTCTTTTAAACATACGCTGTTCGGTGTGTTTTTGTGTGGCTTGATGTGACATAGATAAGGGCTTAGAGGAAAGCTTGATTGTCCTTGAAGGCCATCATCTGTTCATGACACGAGTAAATGCTCGCATACACCGAGAAAGAAGTCCAAAACGACGTCCAAAACGAATTCCAAAAGTCTAGAAAAGAAATAATTTATTTAGTCGGTTATCGCTATACAAATTCGTCGCGCGCGACAATCGTGACTTTCACGCGCGACTCCGAGATTCGCAAACCCAAAGATTTACTCACCGGGGGGAGGGTTAAAGGTCACCCTGGCGCGAGCCTGCTACCCCCCGTGCCCCGGTCACCTCCCGACGCAAACAGTCGCAGTCACCGCTCGGCACGAATACCTCACGCCACGCGCGGTGTTGCTGGTGGCTGGCTCCTGGCATCGCTAACGACGCAGGTTTAGCGCTCGCTCCGTCGGCTGCAGTTTCTTCATGAGGAGGGCGCGACAGACGATGAGGTTGCCACGACGACGACGACGACGACGACGTCCTACGCTCGTCACGCTCACGCCTCAGATTCCTCGACCTGACTCGCAGCCCCCGTCGCGTACGCCCGTTGCCTAGCAACGAGCATCCTCTGCCTGGCTTTCTGGAATGACTCTGCAATAGAATCGTGGGGACGTTTTGTTGCGATATTGACGGCTGAAGCTACGTTCGGACGACAAGAACTAAAGCTGCCATTTTCAAATTTACGTATACATGCATTGCATTACGATAATAAATTGGTTGTCATACATGGAAAATTAGACGTAAGATTTTTGCTGCCAATTGCTGTTTACTCTGTTTATCTCGATACTTACCAAGAACAGCTGCTAGCCCCTGCTGCATGGCTCCACCTCTGAAAATACACACACAGACTGTGAGATTATACAGGTCAGTAACAGTTCTAGCACGGAGATTCCAACGAACATTTGATGCCACGCCATCACAGGTGCCTGTCTATAATCGACTGTTTTGTAACCGACGTCCTGAACCATAACCAAGATATTGTGTGAGAAATAGAATTTATATATAATGTTGAAAAAAATATTGCATTCCAAAATCTCACACTTGAAAAATTTAATAATAGATGGTCATCATGTCATAGACTCTTCCCAGTACTGTAATATCAACATCAAAGGTCAAGCTTTGTGACCCAAATATATAAAACCAGGTGCCCTCCCCCCCCCATCTTGTTTCTACTCTTCTCTTTCTCTCTCTCTCTCTCTCTTTCTCTCTTTCTCTCTCTCTCTCTATCTCTATCTCTCTCTTTCTCTCTCATATTTCATTAAAACCTCCACTCATATATATATTATATGTGTATTTGTATGAATTGTACTTGTATGGAATGTTTGGATTTGTATGAACTTAAATAGTATGTACCTGTATCTATGTATTTGTATGGAATGTATTTGTATGGATGAGTGGAGAAAATAAAAAATAAAAATAAAATAAAAAATAAAAAATAAAAAAAAGATATTGTGTGAATCTTTTGATGATTGGGGCAGGTTCCCACCGCAACAAGATGGTGATACACAATAAGAAACATGACAATCACAGCGATATTTTTCTAAATGAATTTGTCGCCAAGTACGGGGAAACGTACCCTAGTCTGTCAACTAAAGAAGCAAGTTTCTTCTTGCTCGCTGCTGTATCGAGGAATGATCTAGAAAAACGAATAAAACACATTTCTTATAGGCTATGGAGAAGCAATCTTGTCATCCACACCTTACATAACTGACTTGGATCTGTAACGTGTGAAGAATTACAAATAATTTTCTCCTTTCCTGTTACCTTTAACTTGCCTTATGTTATCTGTCACCTAACATGCGATTACACTGAACTTTCATCAACTGGATTTCATGGAAGCGATCGTGGCAAAACTTTTTATCTGTCCACCGATCACCGTGTTAGCTGTGCAATGATAGTAGTACCTGGACTGTTGAATTGTGTTGATCCTGATTGTCACACTGCCGGTCGATTCCGTCTTGAAGCCAAACTTACTTAGATGAGCGCCCTGTTTGAAAATACCAAAACACTATTCAGCTACTATACAACAGTGAAAAACAAAAGACAGTAAAGTACAACAGTAACACAGTAAAACCAAAACACGATTCACCTACTACAAGAGTAAAACAAAACAGTAAAATACAACAGTAATAGTGTGATTTCGAGCATGAAACTCTGGTTTCTTCCACTCGTTTTCAAGGAACAATCGAAAATGTGAGATTCGGATATCACCGGATCGGTGGATACATGCCTCGAACGTGGACGGCACGCTCACATACGTGGGATCTTCGAGTTCTGGCGAACCGCCAACAAAGAATCGCCTCAGCTCATCCCGTATAGAGTGACCTACAGGTCTCCATGTGTTCAGGGTTTCCATGCGACAGCCTGTTGCAAAAAAGCGTGACACCGAACAAAGGCATTATTACGTCATGTGTCTTATAAACGTATTATCGTATGTGCATCCCATACGACTTGTATCAGACGTTGCCACGCAGATACTAACATGCATTGTTGCGATAGAAACAGGGATGAATCTTGAAACGTGCACAAGAATGCTGTCGCGATGTAAAATACAAAATAAATGCGACAGTGATTTCAAATATTGTGCTTGTGCCCTAATGCCAGGTACTTAACAGTTAGTTGATTACCCGTGCGTTTAGTATGTGTATAATATATATGTATACAGACTGAAATGTACATATGGCATACCTGGGCTGGTTGGTAGAGTTATATAGCCATAGCCTTCTGTTCGGTATCGATGCCAGGAATCCAGTGATAGCACCTCGATGTACAGCTGCGGCCATCGCATCATTTCATCTGCAACCAAGTCAAGACATAAACCCACCACTTCTACAACATGTATTCGCGCAGTAGTATATCTCAAGTGCTTACTGCCACCTTAAATTAATGCTAGATCCACAAATATATTAGTATTGTCAACCTACCAGTGCCCTTCTCATCTTCAATGGTTTCCTTTTTGTAGAAAAGTTCGAACTCGAATGGAAATGAAAAGTGGGCAACATTGTCCTGCAAGCAAAATGTTGACAGCATATCTCTAATTACTTATGTTCGAAATATTTGTAAATTTGCATGCATCTCATAACAATGCATGTACATAAAATAAGATTACATTCAAAAAATATTTTGTTGAGCTCATTGTTAGCGTATTATATCGTACAAACCTCAGGATAAAAAGGTGGACGTATAATTGAACAAATTACACGAAGATACGTCTGCGTTACTCACCCGGCCATGAACGGCAGTAGAACAAGTCTGTGTCACCCATGACAGCTGCTGGTCACCTCTAGTTCGCCATGCTGAAGTAAACACATCTACACATAAAGACCACTGCAAAAGCTAGAAAGACTTTCCCAACTGTGACAGTGTATGGGCAACATACCTGCCTGCTTACCAAATCCTATAAATAAACAGATTTTTAGATTATATGGCGCTTGCAGCTGGCGATAAAGATGCTTTTATCACACGAGAAGGGTATCGGAAATCGCCTTAATAATAATTTTAAATTAGTTGCTAGCATAATCAGCGAGGGTTCCCCCTCTTGTTATTCATCGATAGATTGAGGCAAGCTGTTAGTGTTGCTCATAGGGTCTATGTCCCCCTGGCTACTGCCGGAACGTACCCTGGTCACTATTTGATATGGTTAGGGTTAG